TTTTATTATAAATTTTAGCCTGAAATGACCTAGGTCATTTGAAAAAAAGGCAAATGACCTCTAATTTGCCATCACTGATCTTCAATGTCCATTTTTGGTCTGCATTAAAACGAATATTTTGACAATTGTTTCAAAACGAACCAGTAGATAAAAGTTATTCAAGTTTAAAAAAAATGTCAAATTACATCTGTTTTAGTACAATTCCAAAAATCAGCCGATATGATGAAGTACTTAGTATAAGGTGGTGGTCACTACGAGTACAAGTATGTATCCTGCTTATAGGTTTAATTCTAAAACAACTTTAATTAATAGCTCGAACCCATCCCTAATTGGGACATCGTGATACAAATATACAATCGATACTAAGGAATTTGGTGATGGCGCTTGACATTTTAATTATACGTAGGTGATTTTTGAAAAACAATTGAGTTGTGAGCTAAAAAAAGAACAATCGTATTCGAGATAATCAAATGATCGACACATCTAAACTTCACCAGACAAAAATCACGAAATCGCAGAATTCACATTCATAAGTTAATATTCTTATTATTGGCTAACAAATAAAGATGACTTTTTATTTGTCGAAAAATATACAATTAAAATAATATAGTTATAAAGGGCATATATTAAAAATCCAAAGTAATCTATCATTATACGTCAGAATTACCACGCAACTTAATCAGACATTAGAATCGGTTGTAATATTATGCATGATATGTGGTGGATAGTTTTTCAGCACCCTTTTTCACATCCATTGCACTTACAACCTGGCCCACATTTGCATCCTAATACCATGGTCGAATACCCAATAACATTAGGTAATCCGTATTGGATAGAATCCGTAGTTGTAATAAAATCCATATACTCTATTGGACGGCAGCAAACGCACTCAGAACCTTCCAAACATTTGCATGGGTTCAATAATGCCTCAACTAAAAAATTATCATAATAGATATTTTTATAAGTAATGATAATGGAACCCGAGAACCATTATTGGTCCGGAGCAATTTGAGTGCTGCCAAGTAACCAGGAATTTTAAATATGGATTTCTTTATGCAACGGAATGTGAGTTTTAAATGATAATAACACGTGATAAAAGATAGTAAAACAGTCATTCTAGTAAGAATTTGATTGAATATACTGAAGCCACACTCCGTTGTGTAAAGGATTCTATATTGGAATTCTTGGTTTTCACTTAACAACTTCAAAAATGGAACTTTTACATAATGTTTTCCACTCCAGAGGATTAAGATGATATTATTGATTTACCTGAAGTTACATCTCTTTCTATAAGATTTTCATCGTTATCTATTTCGAGTTCATATTGGCTGATCGTTCTAGAATTGGTAGAACAGCAATTTTTTACAGGTCGCGACGGAGCTATCGTAAGCGAATGAGTTCCACAACCTTCGCAACTACATCCTGTACCACACCTGCATACTGATTCAGTGGTTGATGTGCCGCAACAACTTCCGCTTGCCATAGCAGAAGGGCAACTTTGTAAAGAACTTGTAAAAACGGGTAGATCACGATGTTCAGGCTCTGTCGGAATAATAGATTGATTACAATTTTTAGGTTCTTGTTGAATAATAAATTGATTACAATTTTCAGGTTCTTGCAGAATAACAGATTGATCGTATGATGGTATCGATGACAAAGAATTCGTAGCAGAATCTTTATGTGCAGTGCTGCAGTGACTTTCAACTAACGAAGAAATTTCGTCAACTGGATGGTAACAAACACACTTAGCGCCTGTGGTGCACTGACACGGGTTCAATAGTTCTCCAACTAAAAAAAAAAAAAAAAAAAAAAAAAAAAAAAAAAAAAAAAAAAAAAAAAATTACTCACAGTAAAATATAGCTTCTTAATACTTTGCATACTTTACCTGTATTTGAAAAAGGTGATGTATCATTCAAAGTTGTAGATGCACCCTCTTGAATTGATAATCGAAGAAAAGACTAATTAACTCCAGATCGTAACGTTAACTATAAACATAATGTGATTACCTTCTCTCGCTTTGTCATTACAATTACATTTGACGTGAATTTTGTGAGTTTTACGAAGTTCACGACAATGATCACATTGAGTTATCGGTCGGCCTTTTCGTTTAATTTCAATAAGTGGGCGATCCTGATGATTACATGAAGACGATCGATGACCTTTGATACATGTAGCACTATCGAAAAAAAATATATATTTAGTAACTATATGCCAATGTCTTAAGCCGTTTTTTGACGAGGACGAGCTTTTCGAAGTTTAAACCATTAATAAATTTCAAATTTTCGTAAACCCTTACCAAGCATACTTTAAACCGTTTAAGATAACCATGTCAAAAAAGATTCATGAAATGGAAAAGTTGTCTTCGGTACGTACGTAGCACGCAATTTCTAGCCACAATTATTCCACGTTTCATACGTCATTTATCGTTATAAATAACTGCGTTGCTAAAAATAAGTTTATTATATAATATATATATATGTATTTTTCTTTTTTTTCAGTAGTTTTTTATACATAAAGTTTATCATATTTAAGCACGATAATCCTCCCGTGATCTTGATATAGTTATAGTTATCGGGGGATTATAAACGATAGTATTGGCCGTTGCCTTGAATTTTTTTAACGTGGTTTATCTTCAAATTGA